CTTATTGGCATGGAAGTACCCCTACCGTTCATGTACATGGTCTGTACACAGCCTATAGGTGATTTTCCCTGCTTCATGTACATTCCCATAGATCTTGTGCGTGAATTATTTTTTTTTGTGATGGTTAAAAAAAATCTTATCTATCTTTCGATGAAGGAAGTTTTCTTTTTTTAAAGTTCCTACCCCTCGAAAGTATCGATCACTAGAACGTCTATGTACCAAAACCAAGAGATGATGAAAGAAAGGGTATATAGAGGTAATTCCTTACACGATCCATCTCCATGTATTTTTTAGATCACTCCCAGTTTTGGAAGGAGAGAGTGTCTAGTAATAGCCAATCCTGAAAACTGCACGTCGCCGAGTCTAGAAGTATCGCGTGACCGATAACTTTATTATAGCGTGACGAGATAGAACGGAAAAGCCTCGCTTCTATACCGAAAGTGTTATCATATTGGCAATGCCCGGAAGTCAAGCGAGTCAACAATCAGCGACCAAACCGCTTGGAAAATCAAAGTTTCTCGCGAATTTAGCCAACAAATTTTGGTTAACGTGTGATGGAAGAATAATTAAACGGGCTCAGTCCAGAGTTCTATAATATCTGCTACAACTGATTTGAGTCAAATCGCAACATAAGTGGAATTGAAGAGCTATAAAGCTTGGAAACCATCTATACATAAGGTATGATAAAGCAAGAAAAACTTTCATGAAATCTATTTGCATTTTCGGCAGCTATCTTCAGTTTTAAAGGGTGTGTGCTACCATGCTGATTAAACTTAATTTAAACTTAATTAACTCTTGGAACATTAACTGCTGTACTTAAAGAAGTCTGTCACTCCATAGCGGTTATTTAACGTAACCTATAGCTGATTAAACTCAGCTTTCTAAGCTAACATGCAGTGTTAGTTAGTACCTTACAGTGTTACCGGGTGAAAATAACTCTTCATGGTCATTATGGTACAAATTTTATGACAAATAAGCTACCGAAATTCTTGAAGAATCTTCAACAACTTTTGCGTTACTGTACTTCCGGTATTTGCAGCCCTATCGATCTCTGAAACGTTTGAACTGCTTCATGACACAAACTGACTGTCTGACTGAAGGTTTTTACTACTACTGTCTGTCTTTCTCAAGCATTTATCCCCGAGAATGACGATTCAAAAATATATAATTGCAACACCATACTTAAACCCATTTCGTGCACTTAAAGACATATATAAACAAGGTATTTTGCCAACGTAGATGATTTGTTTTCCTTGCCAGGTAGTGATAAACGAATACACTCTAGTCTCTAACAATACTAACGACGCTAGTTACCTGCGTTGTGATCAACGTAACCACCTGAATAAACCACAATGATGAATGTTAGAACTTTAATTTGTAGATTATTAATAGCACTCAATATTCAATGCAAGCAAACGGAAGTTTGAAAGGGTAATTATCCATCTGTAAAATATGTAACTTCCGATTTATATTATTTTAGTTGTGGTATTTGTAGGAAGTTTTCATCTTTTCTTCGGTTTTCCGTGGTTAGACTGGTTACCAATAAGTTTCAATTGATTTCGCCAAGACTTGCTTAGTTTTACTTGCCTGCTTAATTGTTGTTCATTAACAGAAAAGCACCACAGTGCGAAGGGGAACTTTTTATGTCACGTGCAAGTGATTTTAGCATCTGGGTTTTTCCCGGAATTGATCTGAAATAAACAGATGACTGATCAGGTCAATTTAGTCCGGCATTGCGTTTTCTTTTGTCCATGTTCATACTTAGAAAAAGGAAGGGCCAGATTTGAGCAGAAATATACTTTTGTATTCTTTTGCATTCCTTTAGTGCTGGGATAACCGATCGATGCGACATTTTGAGACATTTGAGTAACATCTGAGGTAAGCAGTAAGTTGCTGTAACTATAATACCTCTTAGCGTTGTGGCGTTTTGAGGTCATGTGATCCGTGCGAATGAAACGCAGCTCAATCTGAAATTTTGTTATTATTATTACTCTTTTTCTACGATTGAAATACATGGTCTTATCTAATAACTATTAAGTATGAATATCTGGTGACTTCCCAATATAATTTTACTACTGTCGTAAAATACATTGTAGTTTCCGCTCTCGGTCCGAATATACCTTTTACGTAAATCCAAACTGTTTGAACTAACTCTGGTCACTTCTGTCTGGTGAAATCTCTTTTGAATGTAATGTAATTATATTGAAAATTATGTATTTCCAAAGCGTACGCATTGTAAGATTGTCTTTACGTTTTTAATTACACCGGAAGTCGGGTGAATTTTAAGTGTCCTGTAACTCTGCTGTTACTTTGATGCTATTTTGAGGGAAAGTACAAACAGTTCTTGCGCGGAGTTTTCATGTGCTGTGATTAGATTGGCTGGATTCGCTGCTGTACACAGGATTGTAATGCTATGGAGTTGGCTGATTTTAGGAGGGCAGATAACGATTGATTAGGGCTACCCGGAATGAAATTCATTACGTGTTGGGTCCTAGGCGTGGGCTGTAGGAGGAGGGCTTCTTCCTATGAGCCCGCTAACAGGGCACGCTCGGTTTCCGAGATCTTGCCTCGCCACTTCGCGTTCATATGAGAATAGGGGTAATAAGGCTAATTCGCTTGTTCCTGAAGCGGAAATACATACAAGGCAATGATTATACATTTTGGCCGCTGCGTTGCGAAAGAGCTCTTTTGTGAAAAACGTTTCGTCATTCCACCAAAGAAACGCAAAAAAGAACCTGGCCAATATCCAACCATCTTGCCCGAACAAACTTGGTCAATAACCCATGTATCTTCGTCTAAAAATCCGGGAATTCTGTGCGTTTCATGATCTTCTTCGCTGGGCAGGCTCTATCGTCTGACAGTCGTCCGTGAACAGTCATCACCTGATAGTGCCCGTGCGAGGTCTATCCGCGGTAGAACGGGTACGCTGTGCATGTCTAAAAATAGCTTAAGAGGGATCACCTTGGGAATAACGCCTATATCGGATTATCCACACCCGGTTGCGTCTTCCTCCTTCAATAAGTCACTTAACACAAGGTATTTTTTATTCTCTCTAGCGGCCACTTTATAATGTCCTCTAGGAGCTGGGTCAGATGTTTTGTGTCTGCAACGTTTCTGTGCACCTGCATGAAATACCAAGGAACACACGGAAAATGTAACTGTGTTTTCTCTTTGGGCAGCAACACTTACAACATCTCGTCTCTAATAAGTACAAATGGTTCACGGTTAGTAAAGCGCTTAGAGTATAGATTATAATCCATCAAATATTTTCGCTCGTCGGCGACTGGTCTAAACGCTTCACGTGACTGAATAAGCCCCAGCTAAAACTGGGGAACATCCGAGTGATATTCCCCAATTTTCAAAACTGCGCGTGTTGCGAAAATATTTGAAGGATAATAAACCCCGTAGCCTCAAAGCTCACAGTTTATCGGTTCCCTTCTCGGAACAGATAATGTCCGGGGTCAGATGTCCAGCATATTTTCGCGCCAAATGAAGGGTGTTGTTTATATATCGTAGTTGAGTTATGTAACAGAATGTTCACGCTCAAAAATGCGAAGAAAAACCTTGTGTCTCTCATGTTACCATACTACCTTCATAGAAGCAAAATTCTTTGACTCAGCGTCAACGGTAACTCTCCTTCTGCAGATCTGCACCTGCTGCAATCCCATTTCATTTGCCCATTTTATTGTCATAAACTTATAGCGTTGCTGTCTACACCACCAATTCTAAAATAATCTGTCTAATGACACAACATAGTGCAAGTAGCTAAAGTGGCATACATTACAATTAATATGCATACAGACTATGTGATGAAACAGATCCAAATTACAGTTACAGCACCTTTTTGGCCTCGGCTTTTTCCGTTCGTGAACCTAATGGAGAGGGGTGGTGTTTGTGTCCCCTTGATCTCCAGAACTATTCCTCCAATAGTGATCAAACTTATATGGCATCCAAACAGTCATAACGTGTACCATGTGTCAATCATTGGCTTCACATAATTCAAAATGCCCGCCATATGTTAGCTTGAATTTCAACCTGAAGTTTTTCAAAACGTCAGAACAGCTCCAAAATTACTATGAAAAATCAGAAAAAAATTAAGAGTACAAGAAATGTAAAGATCGGGAAAAAGTATTTTATAAAATCTAAATTTGGTTTGAAAAAGAAATTTAAGCGAAAAGAAAAAACCCACCAATTTTGGTAAACCACACCAGGAAAACATGTTTACCTTCCAAAAAGACAAGTGACCAAGCAACTGGAGTAACGGATAAAATTTGTCTCGTATGTTGACAAATCTTAATTAGTAATTTCCTAAAAATCGATTTTTGTAATAAAAACTAATGAAAAAAATTTACTCGCATTTGAAAATGATCACGGAGAGGTCGACACGTCGTTACTTTTTATCGTTAGCTTAAGTTACAAAAGCGTTAAGAAAAGTTCGCAATGCACAATTTAATTCTTGCGTTGCAAACTGACCAAAAAAGGCTTGAGAAACATGGCCCTTCAAAGAAAAAAGTTTCCATTTGTTAAGAAAACCAATAAATGAGAGGTCTGTTCA